GGGTTGGAAGCTTCTGGGAGCTGAGGGGCGTGGTGCCCCAAGGCTGCAGAGCCAGGGCACCTGCTCCCCAAGTCCCACTGTCGGGTCACCCCGGCTGGCGTGAGTGTGACGTGGCTGGGGGAAGGGACTAAGCGCCTGAAATAGCAGCTGAAGACCCATGCTGCCCAGCGTGTTGAAGAACCTGCCTTAGGATGTGCGTTTCGCTGTACTCGGTACACGGCCAGCAGAGCCAGCGGCCACTGCGTTGCGTGGACTTTGTACTCACATTCCCAGGAAGAGGGGGCTGCCACCCACGCCACACAGGCCATGCCTGGAGGCGCCAGCCGGCCGGGAGGCGAGGGAGCGGGCGGTGTGAGCCCAGCCTGGGCTGTGGGGAAGAGCAGGTGAGGCCGGGGAGCAGGCTCTGTCTGCCAATTTGAATGATTTCTGCGGCTCTGTCCGGCCTGTGTCCTCGTGATGGTCAGACTGGGGGGACAGAGAGGCGGTGGCGGGCACGTGTGGGTACTGCCTTGGTCCTGGCATGGGGCGGTCTTGTCCCTGAGTGGGGGCGTGCTATCTGTGGGCATGTCTCCCGGGCAAGGGCAGCCGCTCAGGGCCGGCCCGGGCCAGGACGTCAAAGCGTCCTGAAGACATGATTCACAGTCCGGGCTTGGAAGGTCCACACAGACCCTCTGAGTCTGAGACCGCTCTTAGTGTTCTTTGTGAGCGCTGAGGAAACCCACCATGCCCACCCAGATCGGTATGGAAAAGCCACAGCGCCATCTACTGCCAGAGGGGAGAACTTTGCAAGAGGCCTCCATGAAAATCAGAGAGGGAACCGAAGTTTTAGAAAAGCAAGAAGACTGTCCGACTTTGCAGCCAGCCGTCAGCACCCCGCCTCCCAGAAACTCATCGCCCGGGGCCGCTGGTGTGTGAATAGAGATTTCTCCGCTCTTGCTTCCTGACATTTGCGCCTGAGCTGTTCTCCAGTGCGCGTGGGACGCTCAGGGTGCCGAAACGTCCAGGGTTACAGGCAGGGGATGACAGGCCCGCTGCGTGGTGGCGGCTGTTGTCTTGGTGATAAAGGTTAACAGGAAACTGCTTTCCCGCGCCTGTCAAGAGGAGGGAGTTTCTCTGTGTCTCACAGCGTGCTCGTTACCTTCTACCTTCTCACGGCCAGGGAGCCGACCATGGGGAGGAGGGAGGTGACCACGTGGAAGATGCCAACTTTGCCACCACGTCTTATGTTTTATTTTTATTTTCATAGCACATGTTGGCACTATATGATGATTGCATTCCTTGTGGGGTGTTGGCACACGCACTTAACATATCCTAATTCTTTTTGTTGGCCCCCACCCATTTGCAAAAGATCTGTCTTCCTGTTTCCCATTATGCTACTGAGCTTGCATTTTCCATTATTAGAGAGGTGGAAGGAAAAGCAAAGTGTTATGTTAGAGTACTACCCCGAGAACACTGGAGGTGGGGTTTTTACTCCTTATTTCTCCAAACTGTGACAAATGGGACAGGGACGTAAGGCACTGCTTTGAAAATGACACTACCCCAGACCCTAGAGACTGAGGCTCAGAGACACTGTCAGGAGGGTCACTGTGGACGTCAGCAGCTGCTGCTGTGCCAGGGTCGTCAGCAGCTGGTTTGGCACTTTGCAGGTCATCAGAGGCGGAGCGGTGGGTAAGGACCGGCTCGAGGAAGAAAGACTCAGGAACCTGGCCTCTGGTGCCAACTTGGAAGTCATTTGTTATTTTTTCGCCCTCTTTATTGCCTTGATCTCCTTTCTTGCTGTCCAGCAAGAATTCTGAGCAAGGGCGGATGGCGAGGAGGGAAGCTGAAAATCCAGTCTGCACTCCTTCGCTGTGCTCACCAGTGTGCCGGGCACTGTTTTGGGACTTGAGGTACAAGAGTGAACAGGGTGTGGTCCCTGTCCTCCGGAGCGGGGTGGCATCGGAAATGACAAGGCCGAGGCCGATGCAACTCGTAGCAGCCTCGGCGCCTGGGAGAGGCTGTTCTGGGGGGCTGCAGAAGTGACCTCTGTGGGTGACCTCAAGCTGGGGGAGGCGGGTCATGTGGGATGTCGGGGAGGTTCTCAGGCTGGGGAAGCGGAATGGCCCAAGCGAAGACACAGAAACAAGACTACTCTGTGGCTCTATCAGTTGCAACTGATTTTTCAGATGTCGCTAACTTCCGGGTGTGGAGCCTCACTTCCCACACAGCCACTCCGGACCCGTGAGTACGTCTCGCATGCCTTCCACTCTGCACAGAAAGGCGCTACAGCAGAGCTGCTCCCTGCCTTATTTCTCAGTACCAGAACGCTCACGGTGGCCTCCTGAGCTCAGCCTGACTTTAGGACTATAACAACGTTGGGAGTCTAAACCTGTAAGGCCTGAAATAACTTCATCTTCAAAGCAGTAATGCCATGTGAGCTTGTACCAGTGGTCCCCTCCCCGCTTTCCTGTGTTTCTCTTCTTTCCTTCCTTCCTTCTGCTTATTTTGTTACTCTGACTGCCTCTTGCCAGATGCGCTTGGTAAAAGATTCAGATTTTAAAATTAAATTAGATTTAATGTATTTGGCTTTGAGGTGTACAGTGTGCCGCTGTGTTTAGTCCCCTGTTACTTGAGAGCTGAACAGACCCTCCTCTGTGGAGACCCCATGATCTGGAGCACCTGTCCAGAGCAGAAGGTAGGTGCTTTGGGGACAAAAAGGGACACGCGGCTTAAAGGATCAGCCAGTTCAGGTGGCCTTGCAAGTGTGAGAACCATTTTATAATTCCTCAACACTTTGTAGGCTCTGACATGATGGTAGTCGTACCACTACTGTGTATTGATTGAGAAATTCTGCTAATAGCTAAGCTTACACCTGATTCACTCACACGTTTTTAACTGAATCTGTATCACATTCATCACAGTAGCCTCTGCTCACATTGGAAGAGTGACGGAAGGCACTGTTCATTTAGTCCTTGGACAAGGGGGTGCGGTTGGTGAGCTGTGGACATGGCCTGGCCTGCAGATGTTTTGTTTGCCCTGTGCAGTGCTGCCTTGTTTCGATGCCGCCCCTGCCATTGTTGTAGTTTTCATTTGAATTAATTCCCAATGTTTGGAAAACCCAGAGACTTCTTAAGTGGAGAATCACCGGCCCACTGTCTTCTTCTACTCTCGAGAAAAGAGAAGCCCAGCAAGGCTCTGTGATTTGTGCTAAGTCACAGAGCTGGGCTGGATCCCGGTCTTCGTTCCCTCTCCAGGATCCTGATCATGACATTGTAACGCTGTGCTAGGAGAGAGCACCTGCTGCATCTCGTTTCACCTTCCCCACCGTCTGCCCCCTCTTGGCCCACCTGGTATCTAGGAGCCAAGCGGCCAGTGTCCCCTAGTGTAGTCCGTGGGTTGTCCCATCCTTTAGGAACCCTCTTCCTTCCAGAATGCTGCATTTCCAACATTTCCCTATCCCAGCTCCTGCATGCACCCTCAGCAGGCCAATCCTCAGACAGTACAAGCACATTATCTGATCAAAGAATTTAATAATTGTGGTGGATTGACAACCAGTGGTCAACTTGTGACACCCAGCTGAACTGAACCAAAGTGGTACGGGGGGGTGGGGCACCCAAGGATTGTTGCCAGCAACAAAAGAGGCAGAACTGGAGAGGAAGACATTTAGAAGCTGTTGGGAGCTGTTTGTTTTCCTCGGGCTGCTCTTGGTTCTCTTGGAGGACCTTGTCATGCTGGCTTTCCTGGTGAACTTGGCTGTTCTCATCATCCAAGGAGCTCGGGACCTTGTTGTTGCTGAGACTAGCTTTGGTTCACTTTGGGTGGGGAGCTCTGGTCCTCACTTTGAGCATCGCTTCCTGGATCTGGAGGAAGGAATGGTGCACTGCTCAGTCTCCTGGAGAAGCTTGTCACGCTGGCTTTCCTGATGGGGACTCGGCTGTTCTCACTGTCAGAGGAGCTCTGGACCTCACTGTCTCTGAGGATGGACGTGGTACTTTTCAGGAGAGCTGTGGTTCTTACTTTGAGTGTTCCTTCCTGGCTCCAGTGCAGATCCCTCAGCCTGCTAGCACAGATCCTTCATCCTGCTGGCACAGACTTTCTAGCTTCCACCACTGACCTTTGGGTCCTCCCAACACAGATCCATGAAGCAGGCCTGCATGAAACATTGTCGTGAGCTCTTGGCCTCCAGTTGGACTCATAGGAGGCATTGTTATAGGCTCTAGGTCGTCAGCTGGACTCATGCAGGACATTACCATGGGATCCAGGCCCTCAGCTGGATTCTTTGTTCTTTAGTGTGTGGACAGATTTCCTGCACTCTTTGTATATGAATCTTTGGGTGACTATTATAAAATAATCTTATAATTAAGTGTCCTGTATTGTACTGTTCCCCTTGCAAAACCCCAGACTACAACCAAACACTCCAAAGTTGGTGTACAAAGACACATTTAATGTAAACTTAAATACTGTCAGCATGTTTCATCTTGAGAAAAATCCACAAGCTCCGTCTGGGTGGGAATTCAACTCTTATTTGGCTTAAGGTGCATTACTATGAGAATGTTAGGAGCGCCTCCCGCAGCTCTCTGTGTACTACAGAAGTCGAGTCACACGTCACCACGCGGTAACCATTTCTGAGAAAAATGTTGGGAGTTCCTCCTCCCTTCAGCTAAGTGGCAGGAATCATCTAAAAATTCCACTCAGCAATGACTCAGGACAAAAAATTCATGTAACGAAAACAACCTTCTGAAAAGATGGCAGGCAGGTAAGGAGAAAGGAAGTGGGCGGAGCACTTAGAACCTGCCCCGTGGGCGGACGGCAGACTGTTCTTCGCTGCGGGAGGCCTCTCAGGCGTGAGCCTGACCCGCGGTGTGTGTACATGAACAGTACGATTTGCCCCCAGAAGAAAGCAGGAAAACACTTGGCGCCTTTTTCTTTCCTTTGTTTAGCATCGGGAATCCAGGCAGGCAGCCCAGGAAAGCAGTGGCATCTGCTCCCGCGCTGGCTCACCTGCACCTCTTCCCTTCCAGGTTCTACATCGAGAGCATTTCCTACCTGAAGGATAACGCCACCATCGAGCTGTTCTTCCTCAACGCCAAGTCCTGCATCTACAAGGTAGGCGCCTCCCCTTCCCACGCTGATTCCCGTCCCAAGCTGAAGGTCTCGCTGGAAGCGGAAATACCAAGCTGTCCCGCTAAGCTGACTGTATTGGTTGGGAGAGCGGTTCACAAAGCAATCTCTATCAGTAGAGGAGAACCTCATGAAATGAAGTCATCAACCAAATGATGCGACTCCTCTGATGCCATCACTGATCCTGGCTCCTTGGAGGGGTCCCCTAACCCAAGGGCGTCCCAAACGAGGGCGACAGATGCACTCATCAGCTTAGGCCTCAGAGGGCGGCTATCAGAACTTTGGGGAGACAATTCTATCCCCTTTCTTTTTGAATGTGGTGAAATACACCTAGATTTATCCTCATCTTTTTTGGAGGTGCCGGGGTTGAATCCAGAGCCTCACACATGCTAGACAAGTGCTCTGCCTCATGCCCAGCTGTCGTAACATTTTTAAGTGTACATTTCGGCAGCATAAAGTACATTCCCATTGTTGTACAGCCATCGCCTCCAGCATCCTTTTCACCCTGCAGAGCTAAAGCTCTTCACCCGTTACACAGTAGTCCCCGTTTCCCTGCCCCGGACGCCCTACTCTCTTCCTGTTTCCATGCGTTTGACTCTCAGCGAGCTGTGTACGTGGCACCACACAGCGTTTGTCCCTTTGCGTCTGGCTTATTTTGTGCTGGCGAAGTGTCTTCGAGGCTTCTCCACCTCGGTAGCACGTGGTGAGTTTCCCTTTTACAACTGCATGACACTCCATTGTATGTGTGTAACGCACTCCGTCCCTTCGGCCGTTATTGGACGTTTGTCTCAATTCTGCCGTTGGCTGTTGTGAATAATGTTGCTGTACACAGGCGCGTCTCTCCCCTAAACACTGTTTCCAGTTCCTTTGAGTCCATCCCCGCAAGTGCGGTTGTGTGACTATTTTACATTTCTGAGGAGCAGCCATTCTTTTGTCCACCACGGCTGTGCCGGTGCATGTCGCCCCCACAGGGCGCGGGGGTTCTCGTTTCTCCACACCCCACCAGTGCTTGTTATTTTCTGTTTCTGTTTTGTTCACAGTAAACACCCTGATGGGGTGAGGCGATACCTCAGTGTGGTTCTGACGTGCGGTTTTTCTAATGACAGTGTGCGTCTTTTCATATGCTTATTGACTATTTGTGCACCTTCTTTAGAGAACTGTCTACTCCAGAATGATTCTTGACTGAGTTGGACAATCACAGCCACAAGTTTGTAGTGCTTCCTGTCCCTGAATAACCCAGATTCCCGCACACCTCTCTGGAGCACAGCCCCTCTTTGAGGCGAGGCCTTGCAGAACACTGCTTAGGTCGGGAGCTATGGGAACTTACTTAAAACACCCATCCCACCGGCTGCCCCAACATGTACATTGTTCTGGTCTGTTTTCCACTGCTCTAACAGAGTATTTGAGACTGGGAAACTTTTGCAGTAAAGAGGCTGATTTAACTCATTGTTCTGGATACCAAGAGCGAGGAACTGGCATTTCCTCCGCTCTGGTGAGGACTTCACCTCAGAGGGCATCACAGTGGGGGGGGGCGTGTGGCAGAGCGGTGAGCGTGTGCACGGAGTAAGGCTGCCCTTTGTAACAACTGACCCTTGGGAGACTCACTCACTCCTGTGAGGCACAACCCGTTCCACAGTATCCGCAGCACTCCCTGCGGGGGTGGAATCTTTATGACCTACTTCCCTTCCAGGAGCCCCCACCTCCACAAGGTGTCGCCACCTCCACACCGCCACCTTGGAGCCCAGGCTTCCGGCACACGAACCTGTAGGGGACAAAGCACAGCGCACGTGATGTCCCTAACTGCACCCTTCATCGTGCTTCCTTGGGGCTGCTCCTTAGCGGTCACAGGGTAGCAGTGAACCCTGCAGAGCTCGAGCAGCACGTGGGCTCAGAGCTGAGGGCTCCCTGTGAGTTCTCTAACTGAATCTTTATGACTTTCCAGTGAAGGTGAGGCGTGGGGCAGCTCACATGTCTAATGACGGTGGAGTCAGCAGCTGTGGGGTAGCCTGACCCTGTCACGGGGCTCACCCGCCCCACTGCGCCCTGAGGCCAGCACTGTGCCATGGAGGGTGTGGCCAGGTCTCTGGGCAGCTGGGGCCCATGCATCCCCAGGAGCTTCAAAGCCAGGCGCACCTGAGGGTGAAGCGGTCACTGCGTCTCTGCAAAGGATTTCAAGGCGATCTCAGGGGCAGTATTTTTGTCTTTTAACTAAACTCTAGTTTGGGGGATTGCCACAAGCCGACAAACTTAAGAGTTGAAATGGCGTGTAAACCGCCGCTCCTCCTTCCGGACCACTTCAGCACGTGCACTGCTCAGAATAATCCCACCAAGTGCAAATGTCGAGGATGGCGGTGATCGCAGTCGGTGCTGTGGAACGGCCTCGCTGGAGGCGGTGGCTGGAGCAGGACCTCCACCCGCCTCCAACACCTAGAGCACCCAGACAACAGTACTTTTGGTTTTTACTGTATGGAGGAAAAAGACACTAATTGCAGGTCCAGGTACTTGCAAATTCCTTCCCCTCCCTAAGCCCCCAGTTTCTCATTATAAAGTGGAAATAGTAATACTGTCCAGATGCCTCACCCATGGTAAGAACAGACACCTGATTTTTTTTTAAATCAACATGAAAAAAGTACGGGAAAGGCTGAAAACTAGACCGTGAATACTGCCCACCAGGGGGCAGACTTGGGCTGAAGTAAATGACTGCAAAGTTACTCAACCCAGGAAATCAACCCTCAAGCCAGGCGGAAGTTCCCTCAAGTCGTGCTGGGTGCAGATAACTAGGGAAAAGGAGAGGAGACTGCTTCTTGCTTGGAGTCATTCACATCTAGTCACAAATCCTGAGCTTGAGCTGAGCACCATGCCCACCAAGGACACTGGGGTTCCTGGAAATAAAAAGAAGAGAGTAGATCCTCAGAAGTCAGTACTATAGATTTTCCAAGCGAAGGTCACGATGCTCAGAGCCAGCTGCATTTGCAGTCAATAGGCCACCGCATCATCCTGAACCTGGCTGGGGAGAGGGAACACAGTTCCAGAACCCCACCACTCTCAAAATCCGTCCGCAAGCCTCGTCAAGTAACCACAAGATGACCAACGGATGCCTCTCCGAAGTGTATACAGGGGGCCAAGCAGCATCACACGACCACTGTCTCCCCTAGAGCTCGAATGCCAGGGACTGGCCAGGATCCCCAACCGCCTGTATGAGGGGTACGGCGAAGGATGGAGAAAAAACAAACAAATTTATGAACGCACAAAAGACAGGCTGGGAGGTCCAGGCCTCAAGACGGACAAAGTCAAAGACTCCCCAAGCTTGCCACTACTAAATGAGCACCAGGCACATTTTCAGAGGGGGCTGTGAGGGAGCCCAGAAGGCAGGAGCGATTGCTGGGCTAGTGAGGAGAACAAAGCATTCCTGGAAGAAAAAAGCTTGGGTTAAAAGAGAACCTGTTTTTCCCCTCAAGCAAAACTCTTACTACTGCTGCTGCATTGTTCTAAAGATGCTTGTCACCCTCAGCAGGTCCTTATCTTGCCTGGGAGCGGCAGGGTTCTGTGGGTCTTCCTGCCAAGCGGAGCTTCCCACATACCTTTCAGCCCTTGGGGCAAAACACACACCTGGGCCTGGGACCCCATTTATTACACATTCTGGTCCTTAACAGTCAAAAGTAATATTCTCACTTGCGGGACTCACAGAACTTACAAAAACATCGCATATATTTGCCTGGAGCCTCCTAACCTCCGGGTGAAGTAGAGGAGGAGCCTTTCACTTTCCACAGAGGGAAGCTGGGATTGAGAGACAATGAGTGACTGACAGCAGCTGGATGTGTGATTTCCCCAGCGTCCGCCACCATGGATGTGTAAGAGGAGAAGGCCATGGAGCTGAGTGACGAGGAGTTTAGTTTTTGCTGTGACAGACTAGGGTTCCCTCCCTAGTTCTGCCATTTAGTAACGTGTACTAACTGTTAGCACCTCTCATCGTGGTACCAAAACGTGTTTTCCTCTTTGACTGAAGAAGGTACTGAAGTCTCTGTCCACGCCTGCTTAGATAGCCGCCTACTCAGCTCTGCCCCGTGCCTGGCATTCGCCACCCGGACTCAGATCAGAGCTGTTTCTCTTGGCCCTGAGCTTCTTCATGCCATCATCTGTGTCCTGGCCCTGGTGAGGTCTGGGGTGGCCCGCAGGCCTGTCTCTGCCACTGCCCTAGGCTTGGCTTGACCTGAAGTTCAACATCAGCTCCCTGCCTGTTTCCTGGGAACTGATTCCTACAGTGGGTTAAAGTACAAGTTGTTTAGGTAAAATAAACTGTGGATCCTGCTTCCTCAAAGACCGATTTTGTTCACATTTAAAAGCATTAAGATTCATTTTTATCAGGGCTGGGGTGCGTCATGTGCAACATTCAGTCTCCAGCTCTAGCAGCACGAAGAGTTTTATCTTTACAAAGTAATGTGGTATAGTTTAAAAGTCAGATGGTTTTAAGCCTGATTAAGGAAATGTCCCTCCTCCTCCCCCATCCAAGTCCTGCCACTTTTCTTCTAGTATTGGGCTCTGTTTTTCTACACAAATGGCATGGCTACTCCTTGATTTGTCCGTGTTAGATTTATGAAATTCTCTGTAAGATGCGCAAGGACCAGGGCATCTCTTACAGCCACCCCCACTTTCCCCACTTTCTCAGTACGCTGATAGCATCGTTCTAGGTTAAAGAGTCAGGAGTGTGATGTTGCTATGACTAAGCCAGGTCATATCCTGTGGTTGCAATTCCTTTTTGAGACAAGCAGGTGTTTTACTACCTAAAGGGAATGCTTCCCTTGCTTTTACTTGCTTGGTTTCTATGATCCTTTTGCTTTTATCCAAAACCTACGGGTTTCCCAATGCATCCCATCACCAGTTTCCAATGCAAGGATAATCGAGTGGTTCTCTCTGGTTTGATGTTGTTTCTGCTGCTGCCACCATCGAGGTCCCTGGGACCCCCTCCCAGGAGCCCGCTGCCCTCC